GAAGAGTACATGACTTCGATCTCGTTATCAGTCACGTTAGATCGTTTTCGACAGACACATTTGAGGAATCATAATCTGCAAGTCAGTCACAAAAGTTGCTGATTTGTTACACTTTTCAGAAAAAATTCATCACCAATTTTACGTTGAAACGATTCAATTAAGAAAAGATTCAAGTTGTAGAGCAGTTATCTAGATGATACATTTACTTTGAATGCCAGTTTTGAAACGAAATCTTATAGCAACCATCCTACAATCAATTTCGATTATAGCCAATTTTGGTTAAGCCCTTTTTATAACTTACTTAACAGACATTGTCATTTGGATAGTAACAATTTGCATATTCTTTGCACTGCAATAACACTAGAGCACATGACACTCTAGCCGAAATGTTGACTGCTTAAATATCATTCGATGACTCATACTCCTACCCATATATGTACGCACGCAAATATTATTATCAGCCTTTGTTTTGCTTTGCTGTGCCCGTATTAAATTTGACTATAAATTGCCTATGTAATTGCTTGCTATTTCGCTCGCTCGCTCGCTTGGTCCTCGTTCGTTTCCTTCGCTTGTTTGCCTGTTCACTCGCTCGTTCATATTCGCTCAGGTGTTGTTAGCTTTCGAACCTGAGTCATTCGACAATAAACTGTAGTTGCTGCTATCCTTTGTCTTCTGATTTTACGCACCGTTAAGTTTAGAATTATAACGGTTATCGAAGTAAACGGTTAACGAATCGCGGCACTACAGAATTGGAGGCCTCGCCGAACAAGCACGACGCAATAGAATTGGATACCTCGCCGAACAAGCACGACGCAATAGAATTGGATATCTCGCTGAACGAGCACGACGCAATATAATTGGTTGCCTCGCCATACGAACACGACACTACAGAATTGGATGCCTCGACGAGCGAACACAAAACAATTTTCGACGAGATAATTTCATTTCGAAAATTCAACGTACTCTGTTTCTATTCGAATTATTATCTGGATTATAATCATAATTGTGGATTTATTATATCACAATTTTAATCGTACGTACATTATCCCATTATTGAACTTAACGATAATATTCATAATAAATAACGATTATTCACGAACAATTGATATATTGGTGCAATTTAGTAAGTCTGTTCCATTTTATAAATTGTACCTTTTGTTATTATCATTTTTTTCATCGATTCATTTCTCTCAGTGACAATTACGTTATATTCGCATACTATTTAATTTATTATTATTATTAGTAGTAATGTCTTTAAATAACGAAACAATCGATCTTTCACAGTCACCATCCGTGGGAGTTATTAATGTTACTATTCCCTCTTTTAATGTTAATGATCCTCAACTCTGGTTTATTAGACTTGAAAATTACTTCGTAGCCAATCGTATTATTTTACAGCGACATAAGTTCGGCTATGCAAGCTCACTACTTCCAGATGAAGTAGCAGTCAAGGTACGAGAGGTCCTAACTAAGCCGGATGCGGTAAATCCGTACGACGTATTGAAACAGGCCGTAATAAAAGCTCTCTCGTTAAACGACCGGCAGGCTGTCGAGCAGTTGCTCAGTGAAGTTCAAATCGGAGATAGAACGCCTTCGCAGTTAAAAACGTATATGAGCAACGTAATTGGAGACAGAAATGTGGATAAAAATATATTTTACCACTTATGGTTGCGACGACTCCCACCGAACGTACAGCAGATCCTCGCTGTTGGAGATAGCGATGTAGACATAGACAACATCGCTAAAATAGCCGATAAGATTTACGAGAGAATGAGAAATGCGACTTCACAAACACTCAACTTCACAGTTGACGAAAGAATCGAGGCCTTGCAAAAGGAAATTAATGCGCTATGCCATAAACTAACGAGTCTAAATCACAACGACAGGAAAAGAAGTTGGTCGCGCAGCAGATCAAGAGATAGAAACCGATCATTTTCTAAGGGACTACCAGATCCTGCTATATGCTGGTACCATCAAACATTTGGGTACAGAGCTCGAAAATGCAGGTCTCCATGCAAATTTAAACGATCCCAACGATTCTCAGTAACGACTACGAAAATCAACGCAGCTCCCACGAGCAATCGTTTATTCTATGTTCAGGACAGAGTAACGGGCGCGCAGTTTTTAGTAGACACGGGAGCAGAGATAAGCGTCGTCCCTCCATTGAGCAACGAAAAACAAAATATCGATACTGCGCTAACTCTTAAAGCAGCGAATAGATCCGATATAAAGACATATGGCAAGCGAAAACTAACCTTGAATTTCGGCCGTAATATTTCACTTCGCTGGGAATTTGTAATCGCTGATGTTTCCGTACCCATAATTGGTATCGATTTCTTAAAGAATTTTGACCTAATAGTGGATTCTCGACGAAACCAACTAGTGAATGGGGAACGCTCAGTAGTCATAAGAGGAGTGACCACTGATCATGTATCTATGAATTTAGTAGTGTCGAAAGATAAGAACGAGCAATATAAGTCACTTCTAAATAAGTTCGCCGACTTAACGAGGTCATCATACGACAATAAAGATCTTAAACATACAGTACAGCACCATATCGTCACGAAAGGTCCACCGACTAGAGTAAGAGCGCGAAGGTTGGACCCAAAAAGGTTAAACATTGCAAAACGAGAATTCGAAAAACTAATGAAACTTGGTATCATAAGGCCATCTAATAGTCCCTGGGCATCTCCGTTACATATGGTTCCCAAAAAGAATGGAGAAATTAGACCATGTGGAGATTATAGAGCCCTTAACAAGCAAACGATAGCAGATAGATACCCAGTGCCACATATTCACGATATCACTACCGAAATAGAAGGTGCTACGATTTTTTCGAAAATTGATCTTGTTCGGGCGTACTACCACATTCCAGTGGCCCCAGAAGACATACCGAAAACGGCCGTAATCACTCCATTTGGTTTATTTGAGTTTTTACGAATGCCATTTGGATTAACTAATGCAGCTCAAACCTTTCAGCGATTTATTAATCAGGTTGTTAGAGGTTTGACAGGGGTATACGCATATATCGACGATATATTAGTAGCTAGCGCTACCGTCGAAGAACATCTACAACATCTACGACAGTTATTCACGAGACTTCAAGAATATGGTGTCACTATTAACGTGGAGAAATGTGAATTTGGAAAGAAATCATTGCAATTCCTAGGTCATATGATAAATTCTCGAGGTATCATGCCAGTTCCAGCGGAAGTTGCTGCTATTCGCAATTATCCGTTGCCCGAGTCACAAAAAAAGTTACGACGATTCCTGGGACTAATAAACTACTATAGGCGATTTATTCCAAACTGCGCAGCAATACTACAGCCATTAACGGACGCTTTGCGAGGAAATACCCGAACATTCCATCTATCGACAGAGGCTATACAGGCTTTTGAGAACGCTAAGCGAGCACTTCATGAGAAAATGATATTAGTTCGACGAAAGAGCGAAGCGCCACTAGCCATCATGACGGACGCATCGAACATAGCAGTAGGAGCTGTACTGCAGCAGTTAGTAAACGGTACATGGGAACCGATTTCATTTTTCTCGAAGAGATTAAACCCTACACAAACGAGGTACAGTACGTTCGGAAGAGAACTATTAGCGATTTACTTGGCAATCAAACATTTCCGACACATGATAGAGGGTACCATTTTTACAGTGTATACAGACCATAAACCCCTCACGAAAGCATTAAACGCCAAGCAGGATAACTATTCGCCGAGGGAAATTCGACAATTAGAATTTATTTCCCAATTTACTTCTAGCATACAGTATATTGAAGGTAATAATAACGAAGTGGCAGATGCGTTGTCCAGAACAACGATAAACGCGATTATTACAAATGGAATTGATTATCACGGTCTCGCGAAGTTACAAGAGATAGACATCGAACTAAACAAGCTAAGATTCGATGACACGACGTCATTATTATTCGAAGATATTCAGTTCGGCAACGCGAAAGTAATATGTGACATGTCAACTGGCCGACCTCGCCCATTCATTCCTAAACCATTGCGACGGAAAGTATTCGAAAGTATCCATAACCTATCGCACCCGGGAATAAAAGCCACGATGAAATTAATCAGTGAGCGTTTCGTATGGACGAAAATGAATCGCGATATACGAAATTGGACGCAAGCATGCATGAAATGTCAAAAAGCCAAAGTACATCGTCATACTAGTTCGCCAATGGGTTCGTTTTCACAGCCAGACACTCGATTCGAACATATACACATCGATATCGTGGGACCACTGCCAGTTTCGAACGGGTACAACTATATTTTTACATGCATCGATAGATTTACCCGATGGCCTGTAGCGGTGCCAATCAAAGACACCTCAGCCGAATCTGTAGCAAAAGCCCTAATCGAGAATTGGATTTCTCACTATGGTATACCGGCAATTATCACGACCGATAGAGGAGCTCAATTCGAAAGTCGACTCTTCCAGCAGCTTACAGAACTCCTCGGAATTAAACGTATACGAACGACATCCTACCATCCAATGGCAAACGGAATGGTTGAACGCCTACATAGGCAGTTGAAAGCATCCCTTACATCTGTCATTGTCAATAACGATTGGGCTAATAAGCTTCCTTTAGTCATGTTAGGTTTAAGAACAATAATTAAACAGGATATGGGATGTTGTCCAGCCGAGTTGGTATATGGAACTACTTTACGTTTACCCGGAGAATTTTTCGCTTCAGGTAAAAGTGTTCCGACTGATGTAGCCAACTACGTCCAACGCCTGAAGAAACACATGAGCGATTTAAAAATAGCACTTCCCAGACTACAACAACGTCGAGTATTCGTACCTCAGCAACTACATAATAGCACGCACGTATTTATCAGAAGAGACAACGTACAACCACCTCTGCAGCCGAACTATGAAGGTCCATTTAAAGTGATTACGAAGACAGATAAGACAGTCACGGTAGAAAAAGCTGGGAAGACAGACGTAATCAGTATCGATCGTGTGAAGCCAGCTTTCATCGATAGCGATTTTCAATCGACAAGCACAAGCCTCTCGAAGACGATCACACCTACGAAACACGAATCTCAGGAGTCAACGACGCTAACGCACCAAAACGAAGAGACTCCGATAACGACAAAATCTGGTCGCAGAGTAAGATGGCCGCAACGTTATGTCGCTACAATCTTTTACTGATAATTTTCTGCTACTTTGATTATTAATTATAATTCTTCCTCTTCATTGTATACATATGGATTATTAAGTTCATGCTATACGCTATTAAACTTGGCACAGCTTATGTACACCCTTATGCTCATACGTGTAGTTTTTTTTTCGAAGCGATACCATATCCCTTCTATTTCTTACAGCTATTTTGTATAGCCTAACGGACGGGCACGAACTAAATACACACTAACTTCATTCTAATTTTATACAGGCCCATATCTTCAAATGATTGTAACTACGCTATCCAATTTACTGTACATTATGCAAACACAGACATTTTTTCATATATCTTTGTTTGCAGGGGGGAGTAATATAGCAACCATCCTACAATCAATTTCGATTATAGCCAATTTTGGTTAAGCCCTTTTTTATAACTTACTTAACAGACATTGTCATTTGGATAGTAACAATTTGCATATTCTTTGCACTGCAATAACACTAGAGCACATGACACTCTAGCCGAAATGTTGACTGCTTAAATATCATTCGATGACTCATACTCCTACCCATATATGTACGCACGCAAATATTATTATCAGCCTTTGTTTTGCTTTGCTGTGCCCGTATTAAATTTGACTATAAATTGCCTATGTAATTGCTTGCTATTTCGCTCGCTCGCTCGCTTGGTCCTCGTTCGTTTCCTTCGCTTGTTTGCCTGTTCACTCGCTCGTTCATATTCGCTCAGGTGTTGTTAGCTTTCGAACCTGAGTCATTCGACAATAAACTGTAGTTGCTGCTATCCTTTGTCTTCTGATTTTACGCACCGTTAAGTTTAGAATTATAACGGTTATCGAAGTAAACGGTTAACGAATCGCGGCACTACAAATTACTCAATAGTGACCATTGTAGTGTTTGTCTAATACAACTAGTACTACGATGGTGTAGGCTCCGTATGTTGAGAAATACAAGTAGTATGTAACAGCAGCAGCAGCAGCAGTCGGAATTGGAATGTCTACCAGCAGAAAACTCAAATGAAGAAAACAGGAAGGAAATTGGAGAGCAATCGAGATAATAATAGAATTAGAGGAATAATATGGTATATAAAAGATGATCCGAAGATGTGGAAATGATGTATCTAATGGATGATTCTTTATATTTTACGAAATCACTGTGTGATTTCAATCTGAGTAAATCGCCTTCCCCCTCAGGCGAGTTTACGTTTACTACACTATAACTACTAACGTTGTGAATGAGAAGACTATGTAGGGACAACCACAGTCATTTGCCGAAATGTGAATATGACACATTCAATACTTTATTTTCAAAATGTCCATCAATTGTCACAGACACTTTGTTGTTCCTTCATTTCCATATCAATCATTCTCTGTTCCCGTTCTCTACTTTCCGATATTCTCAATCTTCTGCTACCGGACATTCCACTTTTGATTGGTGATACATACTACTTATATCTGTCGATATAAGTAGCACACTACCACTAACAATAATAATAACCATAACACTATGAAGATGAACTTTATTCAATACCATATTTGTTAACAGTACATAATTCAGCGAGACTATAGTCTACGGACAAACTAATTAGGTATGAGATAACAGGTCTTGGATTTTGGCGTGAAATTCATTCATCCATTTGGTTAAATAGAGTTCTGGCATTATGGATGGTGTCAGTTCGCGATCAAAAACCTAAATTTAATTCATAACTCATACTGTTTTATAACCCTCATTCGATCCTTGTTATAAGATGGACCTATTATTAGTCACTGGCTACTATGAAACTGCATCTCTTGACATTGCTCCACTGCCTTGTGGATTAGACCTTTAAGTCAAGGGCTCAGAATGTGACCTCCTAAGAAAACTACTTGCTTCTGTTTGGGCGCCTGGGCAATATCCCAGCCCTTACACAAATCAATGATAACTTATACTGGTCTCGTTGTTATTGCGTGGCGCATATGTATTTGGTAGCCCTTTGTACCGATGTTTATGTGTTTAACTAAGTAATAATCAGAAGGGGATTTGTGAAGATTTCAGTATATTTCAAAGTTGAAATCATGAGTCAATTGAAGCTAGACCACCATGGAAAACCTGGAAGCACTGGACGGCCGTTTCGTCCTATTATGAGACTTCTCAACAGTGCGCACCCACGATCCCGCACTGCTGAGGAGTCCCATAATAGGACGAAACGGCCGTCCAATGTTTCCAGGTAATCGATGGTGGTCTAGCTTCAATTGACTCATGATTTCAACTTTGAAATAAGTAATAATCATTGTTTTCATTCACTTTTTTTTCTTATATTGTCATCAATTTTATTGATCTATTTATTGTCAGATAAACCAGTGATAAATAATGAGAACAGTTATATGGTTATCACTTGTAGTGTTTACATTGTATTATGTAGTCAATATAGAAGGTTAGTTTATCATTTGTATACCTAAATGCTTTAAGAAGAAGAACAATCATTGTCCAAGCTTGATCTATTTATAATAATTGACCATTGAGTTATAATGAGGTTAATGTTTGTCTAATTCTTTATGTTAATCCAGTTCTAGCTTCTGTGTTATGACATCATGTACATTGTGTTTTGATGTCTTACAAGAAGTTATTCGAGGTTTGAATATCTTAGAGATAACATTTTTAATTAATTATTAATGAACTCTTTTCAGTATAAGGTTGTGGAGATTATTAAGTTTTTGATTGAGATCATGAATCGATTGATGTTAGACAATCATTGAAAACCTGGAAGCATTGGATGACCGTTTCATCCCAATTATGAGACTACTCGATAATGCTCATTCACGATTCTGCTTGCCGGATGTAAGAATTGTAAGACATAAATAACAAACATAGTGATTTGTGAAAAGATTTCAAAATAACAGGGAACAGCTGTCTAATGAACAATGATAATGTGACATTTCATTTTCGTGATGTTTCAAGAAAAACTTCTAATCAAAAGCTTATTTATTTATTTATTTAAACACATAAATATTAGTACAAGGAAGCACCAGATAAATATGCGCCTCACAAAGCTAATTCGATTTGTGTGAGGGCTGTGATACTGCCCAGGTGCCCAGACTGAAGCAGATGGTTTTCTTAGGGGGCCACACCCGGAGCCTTTGACCTGAATTTCTGATCCACAAGGCAGTGGAGCATCGTGAGGAGATGCAGTCCCATGGTAGCCGGTGATCAACGGTTGATTCATGTGCCATTAGTTCCTTCAGGATACTGGAGTCAGTCCATGTGTACCATTGGTTTGTAATGAGGGTTTTCCAACTCCCCTAGTTGGACTTTGCGTGTCCACCAACCCGGTTAAAGCGTCGGACATTCGCTTTTCGTCCTCTCACTTTCGTAAACAACACCCCCGCCACGAGAAGGCAGTGAGTAGGACTTCCCTGGCAGAGGCTATATATTCACTGGCCATATGAGAGTATTTCGAGAGGGAAAGGTGACTCTCCCCATTCTCGGCCGTACCAGGGCATTTGGGGGCTAACCAGGGCATTTTGGGGCAAAAAAGCTGATTGGATAAAAATGCTCCTTAATGTATCCTGAGCTTGTTATGTCTATTGCGAGAAATTTTCTGGATCGCCCTAACAGATCGATTTTGATGTCGCTCATTTATTTGAATCTCAATAAAAATATAATAAATTATCGAATAACTCTAAGGTATTGTATTTAATGTATGAACTTTTCCTGGAGCCCTTCTAGTGCCACTGTCGATTCCAAGCCCCCAATAAATGAGGATTATTATTTGTAGGATTAGTAATGTCACTCTATAAAAAATAAACGTCGATACAGAATCAATAACCGGAAAAAAAACATTTGATGAACAGTCTAATTACATTGACACTTGAATGTTTGTTTAAAAAGACGGACAAATGAGAATTTAATATTTAGATATATGAAAAAACTAATACTTCAACACCATCTTCAATGATTTGTTAAGCTTGCTAGTAGGATTACAATGATTTTAGGACTAAATAGACATTTTATATAGTTAAAATCATGAGTCGATTGAAGCTAGACTACCATGGAAAACCTGGAAGCACTGAACGACCATTTCGTTCTATTATGGAACTCATCAGCAGTGCACATATACGATCCCACCTCGCGAGATTTGAACCCAGGACCTATCAGTCTCACGCCGAAGCCCTTAACCGACAGATCAAATGAAATTCATCTCAAAAAGGTAAAATGTTAAAATCTCCTGAGTATCCCCATCTGACTTGAATAATCCAATATGCTACAGAATGAAAGAACTGTTTTATTTTAATGGTACTGTGTTCTCTGACCTATCTTTCATAAATGTGAGCAGAACAACAGATCGAGTTCCAGGTCTACAGAAGAGGCTGTTAGTTTATCATACATAAATTCTAAAAGCTTACTTCTTTTAGAAAATGTTCTGGGGATATCGTTTAGAACGCAACATCTCCATAATCCTTATCTTCAACTATAAGTATTTTCCCTTATCTCAAAGAATACTGTTAGAATTATTGATTTATTAAGTTAACTACTAATTCAATTAACTCAACTGGTAAAATGTCAGTATAAGGTTGTAGAGATTGTTGAGTTTTACTTGAGATCATAAATAGATCAATGTTAGACCACTATTGAGATTAACAGGTGAGACTTAAGAGCATGGGTTCGAATCTTGCGTGTGGGATTGTGGATGTTCACCGCTGAGGAGTCCCATACTAGGACGAAACGGCCTTTCAGTGCTTTCAAGTTTTCAATAAAGGGTCTAACATTGATCGACTCATGATCTTAATTAAATTAAATGCACTATTTTAACCATTCAATTCAATTCCTTTTAGATTAATCTTTTATTATAACTTAAATAAGTGAGACAGTTTCTCTAGGGTGTCTCTTATCATTCTAATATTGAAAGTTTAAGAAAATTAAACGGTTAACGTGAAACGTTGAAGATTACTGAAAACAAAGATACCGGCAAACTAGTTTCACAAACTTACTAGGACAAGCGTTTCATCCATATAGAGATTCATCAGCTATGTGTACCTTCATCTCGGTGTTAATGTTGACACTGGGCATAGAACCTAAGACCTGTCCGCAAAAATGTTAATATTTGTTACCAATAAAGCTAGTGCGGTACTATAGTCACTAACTTGTTAAAGGAGTAAGTTAGCTGTTAATATTATGATTTGCAAGAATTTATATTCCACTGTTGTTGATATTCAGAAAGATACGCACTCTAATACAGGCTGATTTAAGTCAGCCAGGAATATCCATAACAAGAAAAAAGAATAACAAATAACAGTGAAGTTGTATGATTGAAGGTGCATTGGCCTCATGACTTCCGAAGGAACTCGGCTTTCATCATGAGGCGTCATAATTATTCCTTCAACTCCCAGGGCAGAGTTTAAATGGTTTAAATTATTTCTTACGATTAGCGTTTTTTAGCGAGTTGGTTTTCTACGGGACGGGTTCGCTAATCCCATGCCCAACCCTCCTCCTTTACCCGGGCTTGGGACCGGCAGTATCCCCCAGAGGAGCTACAGGCGGAGTTGAAATTGTATGGAAAGTAGTTTATTTATCTACATATTACTTGTAAACTATCTGAAAAGCCTTCAATGAATAATTTTAATAAATTTATGTCATTCTAAATACGTATCTATTCTTTTTGTTAGCTAATCGAAAAGTTATCTTCCGAGGTGCTCAGTCATATTCTGGCTACAGAGGGGATCAAAACATTCAAAGAAGACCATCTACTTCTCGTCGTGCTGATATAAGCAAAGTTCAATTGTATGGTGATCGAAGAAATGATCCAACTTATCGTCAAGGATTAGAAGAACTAGCTGGGTTGATGTAAAATGAAAGGTTCAAGACAAAAAAATTTATTCATTAAACAATACTTTATAATATTTCAAGTTTACATCCTATAACATATTTTCTTAGTTAATACAGTAATTATATATGCACAGTATTGAAAATCTTCTTAGAAGATTTCCTTCATATAAAAATCATTACCTTTCAATTCATTGGTCTAATGGTTAAGTACTGGCTGAAAGACATGAAGATCCATTGATCACTCCTAAATGATATTGTCGGTGCGCACTTCTGAGGAGTTCCATACCACAACGAAATAACTGTCCATTGCCTTATAGGAGTATGTCGAATGAAAGGTAAATCAGTGTCTCATTTATTCATTTCATTTAAGCCTGTTACTCCTCGTGGAGGAGCATAGGCCGCTCACCAGCATTCTCCATCCAACCCTGTTCTGGGCAATCCTTTCCAGTTTGTTCCACTTGTTATTCATCCTTTTCATATCTAATTCTATTTACCGGAGTAATGTGTTCTTTGGTCTTCGTCTTTTCCACTCCCCTTCCGGATTCCAAGTTAGGGATTGCCTTGTAATGTATGTCCGATCCCCTTCCAACGTCTTTTCCAAATCACTGGCTAATATCAACATAAAATTAAACTAATGCGAACCAAATTTAAATACATTCTTAATTATTGACAGTAAAAAAGGATACTGTTATCATTTAATATTCACCTTGTAACTAAATTGGAGATTATTTTTCAACCATTAATAAGTTAATATCAAACTATGCAGAAAATTATCAGTACAAATTCATAGATTATAACAGGTTAATCTCGTGAGGCGGGATCATGGATGTGCACTGCTGAAGAGTTCCACAATAGGACGAAGCGGTCGTCCAATGTTTCCAGGTTTTCCATGGTGGTCTAGCTTCAATTGACTCATGATTTCAACTATATAATCAATATAGATTGCTTGAATTCGAAATAGGTGAATGTAAACTACATCACTTTGGCTGTAGGTCATTTTATGATCTTAAGTGTACTGTTGATTTATATCTGTATATGATCATGTTATTAACCTTGATGAATTGATGTAAACAAAAGTTGAATTATCAGAAGGGGGTTTTGTGGTGATTTTAGTGATTTTATAGTTGAAATCATGAGTCAATTAAAGCTATGGAAAACCTGAAAGTACCGGATGGCCGTTTCGTTCTATTATAGGACTCCTCAGCAGTGCGTATCCGTTATCCCATCTCATGAGATTCGAACCCAGGACCTATCAGTTTTGCGCGCGAGCGCTTAACCTCTAGAACCACTGATCCTGCATCCAACGGTGTCAATTTCTAATTTACTTGAATAGTTATGAACATAACTAATAAGGTGAATTTATGTGGCTTATGAATGTTTTTAAAGGGTTTATAATCAGTTTCTCCAACTTAAAACAGACTATTTTCCTTTTCAAAAACTATTTATTAAAGAGATTAGTCAATGTTTATTCCATTTACCTAACTATAAATACACTACTCACTGATTTCCTATCGTTTTCGTAACACCAGTCATAAGACTGGCAACACGACCGAAAGTGTGTTATAAGACAAAGATGGCGAGACTACACTTTATGAAGGAACCAATCAGGTATAAGATAGAAGGTCTTAGATTTTATTTATTGATTTGGCTGAATACCATTTTGCCAATGTGGCTGATGTTAGTTCGCGATTAAAACCCTAAATCTAATACTTAAACCTGACCATCAACTGTAAATCATAATTCTAATTCCTAACATTGGTTTTGTGACCCTCATTTGATCCTAGTTATTAGGTGGACACTGTCAAGGTCACCTTAGTGTCGTTCAAATGTCGTCCATAAATTATAATCTCATCACAAAGATTTAAAATAATCGGAATACTACCTTCTCATGACTACAAATTTGTTTTAAATTGAGATGTACTTCTATAAGAGTCTAATTAAGTACTAAATCTCATCTTGATATGAAGACTAGGAGTTATTTTTTATAAGATGGTGGTTGGAAGTGGTCAACAGGAAACCCTGGACCAGGCTTTCGTGCTACTTGGCACTCATCAGCAAGGTGTACCTGTTATATTGAGGGAACTGGTACTCCTTGACAGATTCGATCCCGTGTCACTCAGCTTCACAGTCAGAGACGTTACCACTGAGCTATTTGGGCCGCGACCGACCTCCTGTATGACTGAAATGTAATCACAATTGATTGATCACTGGTTGGTGATCAATGTCATGCGTGTCAAGTCCGTCTTAGTGTTGATCGAATGCTATCGACTTTTTATTTGTTTAAATCAGTGACATAATCAAAGAATAACATCTATTGAAGTCTTCTGTAATAATCTATAACCTCTATCTCTTCTCGAATAACATCAACAAATAATAATACGGAATAAATTTAGATTGGAATAGAACATTTAGCAATGCTTAATAAAGGTGATTGACTAATTGCAGTGCTAAATATCAATGAAGGGAATATACCAACTGTTATATCCTAGTGAAGGTTAAACTACGGGTACTTTCTGAGAACTATTCATGGACTAATATTATATATATATATATATATATATATATATATATATATATATTCCTATTGTATAACTATTCAGTAACTAGACTATACATAACTACATTCTTTTCATTATAAGTTTCCATTTGACCTATCAGTCTTGAGTGCTATTAAAGGTATGAGGGTGGTTATCACTTCCCGGTTGCCCACACTATGAAAGGGTATTTCTTGAGGTACCTGAAAAGGAAGTTGGATTAGTGTTGGTCTTAACGACCTGGGAGCGTGACTACAGTGCCCAAGGGACAAATGCTTGAGGTCGGTCACACACGACCTTTTTATGGGTAGTTTTTGTGTTAGCTCCGTACTTGCTGGGACCTCACCGCCGAAGACGCATATCCATGGGATAAGGCGAGGTGTGGATTTTTAGGGTCGACCTTTTCTAACCCCACCCCTCCTTGTGGGAAGGCAGCATTTCTGTTATGCTGGTTGTCTGAAGGAAACACCTTACTTCTGTCACACCTTTGTACAGTCAGCAGTACGACTTCGCCTTCGGACCTTGGGTTTGTTGCTTTTAGTCTTACCGCTCTTCAACCGACCTTTCTGGTCTGTTTGGCTTGTATATAAATCAGGTATGTTTGAAATAAATGATTTGCATCGTGGAAGCTGTAATTAGTGTTCTGGACTCAATTGGAAGGTCTGGGAGGATAAAGGACTAACAGGGACGCTAAGCTGCTCATACCGGTTGATACGTCATTGGTTTGGTACAGTGCTAAGTTTGTATAAGTCATGTTCCAATTAACGAATATATCGCGTGGCATAAAGTTATAACATGAACCGTTTCAAATAAAATTCGTACTTCAAGGAGACCATCATGGAATCCTTATCTGGACTAAGCGACTCTAAAAACACCATTTTTAGATCATCTAATTGAAATTTGAGTTCTAAAGACAGTAATCAATAAAGATCAACTTGTATTGGTTAGAATTCCCTCCAGAAACTAAGGTTAAATCAAATATTCACTTATTAAGGCTTTTGAATTGTGTTTTAATGTGAATTTTATCAGCTTTCATCATAGTACTGTAGAATTGTAAATTAACTGACAATCTACTTGGTATTGTTTACTTGAATCTTCCCATTGATGTTTAGAACTGCAATTGATCAGTCCCTCTCTTATTAGCATATGTGCATACTGTGCATATTGTCTCGATATTGCCTTAATTCACAAGTGTTATAAGCAAAGATGGATAGTGATGTAGACCATCAACGTTGATGATCTATGTCGGATGATTGGAGGCCTACTCGAGTTAGACGGGAACGGTGTAACGAACAAGCTTACTTCGAAGTCACACCTCACGATCAGCACCTTACGCGGATTGCCCCACTGACGCATCAAGGGACCATGGATGCTCTGAAGACTGTACAACACAAAGGACGTTATTACAGGAATATATTCGTTAAAGTAGATACAAGCGAAAGTAGAACCACTGTCGCATGGTCCAGACAATGACGTATGATTAACTGATGTGCGTTGATTATCCTTGACCTTGACGGGGATCGATAATCTGTTCGATATTTAGTGACCCAACTGCCGGATGATTTGGCTAAGGTTTAGTGACATTTCACTGGCCCTACAGTGGCTAGCAGTGGAATCCAGGACGCGCGTTTCGTCCTTTTGGGACAGTCCGTTCATTTGGAAATTGGATTAAAATTGAACAGATATTTCTTATAATGTAACATCTCATAGACTAGTTACCATGTTGCAACTTTATCTAAAAGATTCGATTAGGACTTAAAGAACTAGAAAAGTATGAAATCGGTCACTACTCATCGTGGTCAATGAACTAAAGACGAAACCCATTAGTAGTTATGCATAGGAATCCGTAAGAATATAAATTAATATCATGCATTGAAAACTCGTCCCAAAAGTTGCTGGCATTCCAACGAAATTTAGAAAGGATCGATTTCCAGATCAACTAGGAACAACCCGCTGAAATCGCTCACTTTTTTTGGAAAGCATCTTCACTGTTGATAAATAATAATTCAACGAATGTGAAATAGAGCTGTACAATGTTAACAGAGACCGAATATGCATGGACCTAATTTCGTAGGTTCCTTGGAAAGTCTAGTATACATGGTATAGTTATTCATTTCTCTTTTTTTCTTGTATCACCCTTCAAGCTCAGCTTCATTGCCATGCTGATTTACACACTGATTTTACATCATCAAGTTTTACATCTACTTATTTCAATTACTTTGTTTTTCACTTCATAATCTTGATAAGCGTCATTCCTTCCTTTTATTCTCAATAGAACTAGATAACAATAGTCATTCTTCTATCAAAACTTAAAATTTATAGCAGCCACGTGAATGAGAGTAACATTGGTGATTTCCAAATGTTATCTAATAAAAAGCATGTAAATACTTTATACTACTTATAGGATTAAAAGTAGTTAAAAAGTAATTACCCCAAACTTAATTCAACAGCTGCTTTTTTAGGTCGAAGACT